TTCTGTCTAGAACCCCTCCTCCTTTCTGAAAGAAGTAACCTTTAATCCTCCATCACCCAATGAGGTGAGAAAGCATAAGTGATATCATGCCAGATATTTACTTTGTTTGCTAATCATCAATTTTCCTCATTTATCTTCAGTGACTGCCTGTTAAACAACTGTAGTTAACACTAGTAAGAACATGGCTTTAAGTTGACAGTATCTGCCAACATTTAAAATGCTTCTACCCTTTGAACCAGGAATTCCATTTTAAAGAGTTATTTAACAGATACACTGACAGATGTGGAAAATAACATATTTATAAAAATAATCATGGCAGCATTGTTTGCAATGTTCAAAGAGTGAAAACAACCTGAAAGTTCACCAGAAGATGGATGAAATAAATTACTGTATATCTGCACAAGTAAATGGGATGTAAGTTTAAAGTCCAGTTCCAGTCCCTGTCATGAGCCCCAGAACTCTGAAGTTTTTCAGTCTTTCATTCATCTGCTTAAATCGTTGCTATATAAAGAAGGTACATCTATATATATATAAAAGCCTAAGCAACCATTATGACCAGTTGACCAAATGATCACCATGACGTGCACTAACCACCAGGGGGTAGACACTCAACACAGGAGCTGCCCCCTGGTGGTCAATGCGCTCCCACAGCCAACCTCTCTCGGCCAGCCAACCTCCCATGGTCCCTACCCCTGGCCGGCCGGCCTCAATCGGTCCTGATCACCAGCCAGGCTGAGGAACCCCACCTGTGCATGAATTCATGCACTGGGCCTCTAGTAGTCCATAAGGGACTGAAGAGTTGGGTGCTTTCCCTTCAGTTCTTATTAGTAGCAACACAAAATTATTTACACAGATGGTAGAAGGAAATAAGGAATCCTGACTAATTCTGGACCATCTCCAAATAGCTCAGTGGTCATCTTAACAGCCCGTTTTCTAGATTTATAGGATGTACTAATGCCTCTTGGGTATATTAAACGTACCAGGTCAACAGGAGTCCCACATCACTCCTCTAATGGCTAGAGTTTACAACCATTTGTTCACAATGCATAAAAATGGTTAGTGAGCCCTGGCCAGTGTGGCTCAGTTGGTGGGTGTCGTCTTATGCTCGGTTAAGGCATATGCCCAGGTTGCAGGCTCAATACCCACTGGGGATCGTGTAGGAGGCAGCTGATTGATGTTAGGCTCTCAGATAGATGTTATGCTCTCATCAATGTTTTTCTCTCTCTTCCCCTCCCTTCCTCTTTCTCTAAAAATTAATAAACTATTCTTTGGAATAATAATGGTTAAAATTAGTATTTTCATCTATTTCTTGTGAGTCCTTTAACCACGGGGTCTAAGGAACTCCTGGATATAACAAACATGGAAGAACACCATCTCGTCCAACTGTGGACATGCTGAAAAGGGAGTCAACCAGGTGGTTAGGAATAAGTCTGTGGTGGTGGGTGGGATGTGATCATAAAACACTGAGGCATAAAGGTTAAAGGTTAAACTGTATAAGGGTCAACGAGTGTGGTAGAAAACAACAGAAAAGCTTCTTATACCTACCTTTCTTCTGCACTTTATCTCAGTGTATTATTAACATATTTGCCTCCCTCACTACATTGTGAGCAACTTGATTCAGGGTGGACATTCTTGTATCTTAATTACTAAGACCAGTGCCTAAAGATCATGGGCACTTTGTATTCAATTCTTCAAATTAAAGAATTTGAAGAATTCTTCAAATTGAATTCAAAACCATAAGTTTGAAAACAAATTGTTTAAGACAGTAGTTCTTACAATTTTCTGATGCACACTAGGGATTCTTTCCATACAAGAAATGCACAAAGCTAGGTACAAAAAATTTCAATATACTTTCAGGGCAATCATGGACATCTGCTCTCTCTCCCCTTTCATAGATCTTCTAGGGAACCATAGCTCTTCTAGAGAAATTAAGAAATTCCTAGGCCCTAACCGGTTTGGCTCAATGGATAGAGCATCGGCCTGCGGACTGAAAGGTCCCAGGTTCAATTCCGGGCAAGGGCATATACCTTGGTTGCGGGCACATACCCAGTGGGGAGTGTGCAGGAGGCAGCTGATCGATGTTTCTCTCTCATCAATGTTTCTAACTCTCTATCCCTCTCTCTTCCTCTCTGTAAAAAAAAAAAAAAAAAATCAATAAAATATATTAAAAAAAGAAAAAGAAATTCCTAGGTTTAGCCCTGGCTGGGTAGTTCAGTTGGTTAGAGCATCATCCTGGTACTACAAGGTTGCGGGATCTGCATAAATAAGTAGAACAAGTCTGTTTCTCTCTTAAATCAATCAATAAATAAAAAGAATAAAATACAAATATATATTTTTAAATTTTTTTTTTTACAAAAAGCAACTTTCTTTCATCTACCTCACACAAACTCTTCCAGTACACTAAGGAAAAGGGCCCCTTCTTGTACAGAGTGTAAAAAAGAACTTATCTATGTAGTTTTAGATTCACTTATGAGATATTTTGCAATATTATAGAAAAAATGATCCCTTATAGCAAAAGGTTATTTTAAAGTAGGTATGTTTCTTTTAAAATATTTACAAACTATTCACTGTGAGTCAAGGGCTGTAGGATAGAATCAATGACTCAAAGAATCACAATATGGTGCAGAGCACACATAGGAAACTGGGTGTCTGAGTTACGTTTTTGCCTCTGGGTGTGTGATGAAGATAGTGGTGGGTGCAATGGACAGGGCAACTGTAAATGCTGTAAAGGAAGAAAATAAACCTTTTTTTTTTTCTTTCTGTAGAGCCTTTGGCTTTATTATGGTCATATACAACTCTTACCCTCCCACCCTGTTATCTGATTACTCACAGGAAGACTGATAACCTGTAGATAAGCAGTCACTGATTACAGATGAGGAGTAAGCAATGCTTAAACAATAAATGCTTGAACCATATCCCTGCGTTACAAGGGAGCTGCACCTATCTAAATGCCATTTCTAAGATCCAGCATGTAAATATTTCACCTGAGTGAAATATTACAAATTTGATGATTATTACAAATTTGTTGCACCTTAAACTTATCTCAAAGCTGACCTGGTACGAATGTGTACTCAAAGAAGGAATCCCCTTTGTAACACTCCCGGCAGCCACAGGCTTTGTTTGGATACTCATTAGCTTTAGCAAAATGTGTTTGAAATCCACAATAATGATTAGAAACCGCTTCCTCACACTGAACTGAAGCCTCCTTACAGTTTCCAACCATTCCTCTAAGCTTTGGCTTCTGCAGCAATGCAGAATCATCCTATTCTTTCTCCCATACCATTCAAGGATTTGAAAACATTTCTGCATTCTTCTCCAGCCGGGACTTCCCTAATTCTTTCATGTATTTCTCTTGAGAAGTTCAAGGTCATCACCCTCCTGTTCTTACTCTCCCAAGCACTGTAATACTTGGCCATAGTCTGCTTAAAACCTGACACCTAGAACAGAACATGATATTCTAGCTGTGATTGATCTTACCTCACCGGAGTCCAGAGGGCTTATTCTTTTGATCTAGGTACACCCTTCCATCATACACTCTTATAAGGTTTTCATTCTCTTCTCCTATTACCCTGCCCGCATGTGCTGTATTGCGGGCTTATATAGGAATTTGGTCAAATAAAACTGCCAGGTCTTTTTCTGAGTGCCACTATTAAGTCAGGTTCCCCTCCTTTTACCTTGGCAACAGAATGTGTCCAACTTCATCTCAAATTGGTCTCAGCACTAAAATAATTTAAATCTTAATAATATCATATTTAAACATTCCTGCTGTTATCTGTAAATTTAATAATACTGCCTATGGAATTTCTTGTGTCTTCACCCAAAGGACTAGAAATTTCCCAAAACTTTTTTAAAAAATATATATTTTATTGATTTTTTTACAGAGAGGAAGTGAGAGAGATAGAGAGTTAGAAACATCGATCAGCTGTCTCCTGCACAACTCCCACTGGGGATGTGCCCACAACCAAGGTACATGCCCTTGACCGGAATTGAACCTGGGACCCTTCAGTCCGCAGGCCAACACTCTATCCACTGAGACAAACCAGTTACGGCTCCCAAAACTTTTAATGTGAATCATTATTCAACTCTCTTAAGTGGTTTCAATAGCTAGGAATTCACCTGACTAATGATTATCCAGGCATATCCTCATCTTAGCCACAAAGATGTCAACAGAGACATCAAGTGTCTATTTTAAAAATATATGTTTTTATTGATTTTAGAGAGAGGAAGAGAGAAACATTGATGAGAGAAACATCAATGGACTGCCTCCAGCACGCCCCCTAATTGGGAATGGAGTCCGCAACCTGGGCATGTGCCCTGACCTGGAATTGAACCTGCGACCTCTCAGTGCATGGGAAGATGCTTTAACTGAGCAACACTGGCCAGGGTTCAAGTGTCTTTTTTGTTGTTGTTAATCCTCACCCGAGGATATTTTTCCATTGATTTTTAGAGAGAGAGGAAGGGAGGGGGAGAGACAGAGTAACAGAAATGTCGATGAGAGTCACATTTATTGGTTGCTTCCCACAAACGCCCCGACCAAGGCCAGGGATTGAGTCTGCAACCAAGGTATGTGCTCTTGACTGGAATCGAACCTGGGACCCTTCAGTCCACACTCTGGGCCGACACTCTATCCACTGAGCCAACTGGCTAGGGCAAGAGAGACTTTATGTGTGGGCTCAGTCCACAAACCTCAAGTGTAGGTTGTGCAACTACAATTTTTATGGTTACCCACCATTCAGAGTGCCTTGTCGACACTTTATGTGCAGATCTGGAAAAAAAGAACAAGCAGATGGATAGTCACATTCAAAAGAGCTTTAACAACTAAGTCCTTAGTTTTAAATTATGCCAGAGAATATATACATATTTGTGTATTTTTGTTGCTGTTCTTTGGCAGATTTTAACTATTAGATGTGTACCTTAAGTGAAAAGAACACCATAGCTTTATTTCTTCTATGCACTTCAGTTTTCACATGCATGTATGAAAGAAATGTGAGCTCATTCTCGTGGATAATAAATGCAACTTTATTGTGTGCAGCTTTTTTTCACACCAAGTATTAGTTTTTCCACGTGAAGTAAGTTAAGAGTTATGATAAAGTTATTGTTAAGGAGACACACTGGGCAATAGAAAAAGCTGAAGAGAGTTTTTGTCTGAAACTGGAAAACAGAACAGTCTGGGGGAAAAAAATATAGAAAAGTACCACAGGTTGCTAAGAACATAAAAAACAGCTTTGGGGACGAGAGGTGGTGACACAGACTGAGTGGGGAGTGAAAAGGGCCAGGCAATTGTCTCCAAAGGGAGGGTAGGATTTCATGTGGATGTTTAAGGTATTTGCTTGGCACTCATAATCTCGGGGTTTTCTTCTGTGTCTCTAAAGCTGTCGACTTCTCCTGCTGTCTATAATTTTATTATGCAGCATAATATATTTTTTTTTTACTTAGCACAAAGTCCATTTTGACAAGACAATAAAAAGGTTCTAATTTTGTGGCCGGCCAGTGAAGTCAAACCTCAGGCACACAGTGGGAGCACCTGGAAGATTTAGGTAGCGTACAAAATTTGCTTTTTTCCTTTAAAAAGTTTTATTACCCTGTTGTGTTTTTCTTATTGAGTAGACTCCTAGAGGAAAAATAAGCTCTGTGAGTTTACTGGTCTGCTACAGAACTGGAATTTAGGCCCCCATTTTGCTGAAAGAGATCCCAAGAGTCTCTGAAAACAGACTCCTGAAGAGGCCCCTCCCTCAGTAAGTGGCTGAGTGTAAGCACACACCTGCCACCTGGGAGAGCTGCTCGAAGACGCTCTGTCCAGAAGCCACTCTACTGCGGTTCCGGACCTCTTCTGCGTCAGCTTCTATCCCTAAAGAGCCACTTGGGGCAGGTGGACCAGCCACTTTGGGTGAGGTGGGCAGTAAATGAGGCAGAGGCCCCACCACTTACTAGAAACGTGATACGGGGAACGTTTCCTTGCTTCAGTGTTTTCACTGGCTACAGTGCCAAAAGACTGACAATCTTGTACACCGAAGTGAAAATGAACTCTAATACAAGCTCCCCAGATCCTCTAAACAAGGTACAAAAATTTGCAAACTACACAAGGCTAGAGTTCATAACTGTTTGGTATTCTCTGACTGGACTTTGGACAGAAAAGACAAACCCAAATAGAGGAACATAATTTAAGTGTGGCAGAAACTTGGAATCACGAGGCCTGAAATACAAAGATAAATGCATTACTGAGGCATGTTCCCCTGGCCCTGAGGTATGTAGGCAAAGAGGTCACACTTGACTGTGACACAAAGAGTCAAAGTGGATGTGGGGCTCCAAGAAAATGTTCACCAGAGGAATGTGGTGATTCACTTATGTCCAGAAATCCCAAGTCAAGAACTGCAAGATATAAGTAGGATCAAATTATATAATGTATGTGATTCAATTTAAGAATTCTGAGCCCTCTTACATTATATTATTTAGAATACAAGAGTAAAAAAATCAAATTACATTCATATGAAACTTTTATAAAAAAAGAAATCAAATCTATTTTTATGAAATTTTATAGTACAATTGTTTTTGAACGGGTCTTTTCGTAGGTCACCGTATTTATAATTCCATTTACATCTGTGTAATTCTTCAAATCAAGAGACAAAAGGCAGTCAATAGAAATCTACATTTTCATTTGCAAAACTCCCTTCAGTTTCCAGGCCAGTAGCACACAAGGCGATGTCGACTTGTCCTCCAGACATGGACTGCTACCAGAGAGCCCAGTTCACGGAGCGTGCAGGCCTCTGCTCATTAGGAACGCTTTTTGGTTTGGCTCACGTTTCAAGAAATTCTGGAGCATGTCCATGCCGTCCAGAGATCCCCCGGGTTTCAGGATTAGGTTTCTGTATTTCATTCCAACCTAATAAAATAAAACATCATGCCTAACAATTCACAGTCATAATAATTTCGCAAACCTCTAGATACAAAAGAGAAAGGGGTAGGAGTGAGAAAAAAAGGGGAATTTTAGCTCTACTCCGTCTGGGCGGCAGCTCTGCGGTATTTGTTTATTTTGGTAGCTAAGAGATCTGAAGCGCAGACCTCTGGTCTACACTTCCCTTTATTACTGTCTTGTCTCCTTTGATTCTCAGCAGTAAACTGACAATGTGAACAGGCAGACAAACAAAAAACAGCCAGGTGGGCCCTGGACGGGTGGCTCAGTTGGTTAGAGCATTGTCCTGATGCACCAAGGTTGGGGTTCGATCACACAAAAGAAAGCAATCAGTGAATGCATAAATAAGTGAAACAATAAATTCACATCTCTCTCTTTGTCTTTCTCTGTCTCTTTAAGAATAAATAAAACATTTTAAAAATTGCCAGATGGAATGTATAACAGGTTCCTATTTATTACCGCCCCTCAAATGTGATTTCAAAAGGGTTAGCAAAGCCAAGTATTCAAGAAGGCCACAAGCAAGGGGTTCTGAGTACCTGGAAATGGTGACACAGCTCCTGCCAACCGGCTTCTTCTCTGTTTTTATGAGGGGCTCATAAATAACCCCTATTCCTTGTGGACAAGGAGGGGGTAGGAATAGCACATGCCCCATGGTTCAGGGTAAGACATTTCTGTGGGCCCAGCACTGGAAATGAGGACCTTTGTAAAGGTGTTTTTGGGAACCAGATCTGCAATTTTAAAATGTATCACATTTCCACCTTGGCCGTGTAGCTCAGTTCACTCAAGAGTCATCCTGATATACCATGTTTGCGGGTTTGAGCCCCAGTCAGAGCAAATACAGGAATCAACCAATGGATGCATAAATAAATAGAAGAACAAACTAATATTTCTCTCTCTCAAATCAATTAAAAATTTTTTTAAAATTCATAAAATATTACATTTCCTATGCCTTTATGTGCATAAACACATGAGCAGATCAAGTGAAAGAAAAGAACTGTAACTCAATATCCATGTTATTCAATATTTTCACTTCCTTCTAACTGTCCTTTTAGGGAAGCAAGGCAAGACAATTCAATGAAGCATAATTCTAAATAGAAACATTAAACAATAGTTCACAGAGTAACACTCTTAAATTTATATCCATTATATCATTTGATCTATAGGACCAAGAGTGTTTTTGAATACAAGAATAGCTAGACAATAATAATAATAAATTAATTAATTAAAAAAGAATAGCTAAAACAATTTCCAGAGACAAAAGTAATCTAACTTTTGACTTACAACAATGATTCTGCTTGGTACAACCATGAGAGATAAGTCTAGTCAAACCATTAAAGAAAGTAAAATATGGATAAATGAAATCTACCAACTAGATATAAAACTAGTATCCTAGAGGGCCATAAAATGAAAACTTTTGGGGTTATCTTTTGATTATAAACAGAAACCATCAGCTTTTTAATCATTTACAGGCTAACATCTAACTTTACAGTCTTGGGCCCTAATCAGGAATAAATAATCAGTCACATAAAGTTATCTTCTCATAAACTCTAGGGCAATACTATCTAATGGAAATACAATGTGAGGCACATATATACCTTTAAATTTTCTAATAATGACATCTTTTTAATTTTTTTAGAGAGAGAGGAAGGGAGAGGGAGAAGGAAGACATAGAAACACAGATCAGCTGCCTCCTGCGCCCGTCCTACTGGAGATCGAGTTGCAACCCCAAACCTGTGCCCTGACCAGGAATCGAATCAACAACCTCTTGTTGCATGGATTGATGCTCAACCACTGAACCACACAGGCCAGTGATCACATTTTAAAAAGTTAAAAATATAGGTGAAATTAACTTTAGAAAAATATTTTATTTAAACCAGTATATCTACAATATTATTTCCACATATCTATATATATAAAAGGCTAATATGCAAATTGTCCCCTCGGGAGTTCAACCAGGAGTTTGATCGCTTGCTATGATGTGCACTGACCACCAGGGGGTGGCGCAGAATGAAGGAAGGCCCCAGTCAGCAGCCAGAAGGCCCCAATTGGCCCAGATCGCTGGCCAGGCCTAGGGACCCTACCCACGCACGAATTTTGTGCACCAAGCCTCTAGTGTCAATATAAAATATTACTGAGATGTTTTTTGTTTTAAGTCCTCAAAATCTAGTGTGTTTTTTACATTTATAGCACATCTCGATTCAGTTCTTCAGCAGCACTAGCCACATTTCCAGTGCTCAATAGTCCATGTGGCTATCAATCTAGAACCTAAAATGTGAGTGATTGTCATAGAATTTATTATTTCAAGAAGTAGCAGATCAGAGCTCTAGAGCCTAACCATACTTTACCTCCCCCCTTCCCTTCCATCTATTGCCTGATGTCTCTAAATTTGACTAGTTTTAAGTTAGGGAGGGGAAGAGAGGCAAGGAAAGACTACATTCTCTGGATTAGCAGTATCGGAAGAAGTTAGAAAATGTGAGTTACATTTATCTGCAGTCTAATAAAAATATTTTAATCCTTTTATTACAGAAAAATTTAAAATATATACTAACAGTAGAGAAAACAGTATCATGAACCATCATGTGACTATTACCCAACCTCAATAATTTTAATATTTACCTGCAGAAATTTTTAATGCTCATGATCTAAGAATCTTTTATTTATTAGATATATTTCATTGTACAAATATAGGAATTTTTGTGAAAATCTAAATAAAGTAAAAAAGAAATTACCCTAACTGTTGATATCTTACAAAGTATTCTCATGGTGCACAGAGAACTGTAGTTCAGGTGGTGAAAAAAAGCTCTGAGCGAGCTGCATGGTGCTGTGAAGAGCAGCTCATCCTCCTCTGCATGGTCAAATCATTGCAGAGCAGGGCACTGTTTAGTCTCACAATATGGGCTCAGTGCAGCTCTAGTCCTCCCTGCTCAGGGCTCCAAACAAGTTGATTCAATTTCCTGAATTACAGAGCAATGGCCTTTTAATAGTTTCATTTCCTTAGCAATGAAGTTTGGAGAAGAGTTTAAGAGTTGTCTTGGTAACAGATTAGAGAGAGAGAGAGAGAGAGAGAGAGAGAGAGAGAGGGAGGGAGGGAGGGAGGGAGGGAGGGAGGAAGGGAGGAAGGAAGGAAGGAAGGAAGGAAGGAAGGAAGGAAGGAAGGAAGGAAGGAAGGAAGGAGAGAAGGAAGGAAGAGTTAAGTGAATTTTTGCATTTTTGGAAGGTACCGGGCCCTCTGGGTGAGAGAACGTGGTCTGGGAGACACATGCCACAGGTGGAAGAAGTCTTTGCACTAAGTTGTTCTACTTTGCGTATGACAGTAAAGAAACTTCAACTGTGAGGAAAGCAGGAAGAGAAGCTCTAAGACAATCACTAACATTTTTCATGCTAAAAAAATCCTTCAGGAGGATCTGCATATAGTAAGAGCACCTAGTACCTATTCCATGAAGGAGAATCACCATCAGTCACCTCTCTGGTCTTTCATCCGGGAAGGGTATCTTCTGGCAAGTCCTCTCTAACAGGGGTGATTTCTAAAGCCAGATCAGGAGTTTTGGAGTCAGGCCCAGGTTTGACTCTTGGCTTCACCCTCAGCTATGTGACCTGGGGCCTTGGTTTCCTTACCTGTAGAATGGGAAAATGCGTACCTCACAAAGTTTATGGGGAATCGGAGGAGATGAATTCAGTACATTGCCTACTCCCTACTTAAATACCTGGCATATAGTATTCAATAAACCTTAGTTGTCATCTATCCCTCCCCTTTCATTTCCTTCCCTCTGACACTGCCCTATGTTCAGTTTCTCATGTAAATTTCAGGGAAACAAATGCAGTCCTGGTTTGGTATTTCCTTAAAATTACTTCTGTGTCCTACTACACATGAAAAAAAAAAGCACAACAGACTTCATCTCCACTATTAGTAAGAACTGTAATTCAGTAAGAATATTAAGTAGGAGAGACAAGGCACTCATTTTATCTAAGAATATGTACCTTTTATTTGAGGTGATCCTTTAAGAGCATTCATAACTACCTGAATGAAGGATGTCCACAATCTATGAGTAATGAGAATACTATATAAATGGGAAACAGATTGGGTCTCCTGCTACCTCTGGCATCTCTAAAGCAACACATACAAGCGCCCACTGCCTTCCAAACCTCCTTCCCTCGCTTCCTCCTTCTCGTGATGATGCTCTGGGGAGTGCAGCCAGAGTCGGCTCCTTCCTACACTGAGTAACAGGCATCCGGCAGAGCATCCACCCAGGGCAGGGAATGATGAGCCGGCACCTAACAGGCTCCCCGGTCTGCTTTAAAAGTGGACTTTGAAATCTTCCTTCTGCAGCCTGTTTGCAAGCTCCTTCCCAACAGTACACCCTTTGTTTCCTACGAGGGTGGAAAAAGAATACCTCTGACAACAACAAAGAAGGAGAGAGAGAGTGAAAGATTGGTGCTGGTAGTCAGGGGGATAAAAACAAGAACAGTGGCAGGAATCTGCCCTTGACTAGAAGTGGCCTTCTGGAAACATTAAGCAAAGTTTCAATTTGTGAGGCTAGGAGGATAGACCTTTATTTAAGGGGAGGGAGGAGATCAGGAGAAAAAAGATACCCTGGGTAGTAGTATGTGTCAGGGGGATAGAGGAATGGAAGCAGATAGGCTAAGAACTACGGGTTAGATCCCAAGAGGTACCCATTCCTAACAGTACTAATTAAATGTAACAGGTTTGAAGCAGAGGACAAAAACACAGCTGAATAGAACCGTTCCGGTTACAAGGTAAAATAAAGAAATAGGGAATTAACAAGGCAGATTATTAGGGCTCTAAGAGAAACACAAAGGAGGGCTGTAAGAACACAAAGGAAGAAAAACTGCTTCTAGCTGTTTGGGATTCAAGACTTACAAGGTCTGGCCTTGTAAATATTCAAGAAGCAGGTTGGAAATCAATCCTATTTCCTTCCTTTGTCCTTTAAATCAGGCAAAATCTAACTCAG